AGAAATGGGTAGGTCAGGGGAAGCGCACTTGTGCATTTTGTCGTGAGGTTATTCCATCCAAGATGGCAAGGGAGCCCCGCATCAACTCTGCTATAGTTATGGCCATTCGAAATGCCAAAATGTCACAGTCTAATGTTTCAGGGGGTGTCCCAAGGGTCAACCATTTTGTTCACAACCAAGATCGACCCGACAAAGCATACACCACTGAGCGAGCTAAGAGATCTGGAAAGGCTAATGCCTGCAGTGGGAAGATATTTGTTACAGTTCCTCTTGATCATTTTGGTCCAATTACAGCAGAGCATGATCCAGAAAGAAACTTGGGCGTGTTGGTTGGGGAGACCTGGGAAGATAGGATGGAATGCAGGCAGTGGGGGGCTCACTTTACCCATGTTGCTGGGATTGCTGGGCAGTCAGAGTACGGAGCACAGTCTGTTGCACTATCTGGGGGTTATGAAGATGATGAAGACCATGGTGAATGGTTTCTTTATACTGGAAGGTATACTCAAATGTGGTCATTTTGTGCTATGCTTTGTTTTGAGTAATCTACTGTCCTAATATTCCCATGCTTCACCTGGTTTTATTTCTCCTACCAATATGGCTGAACCATGTGACCTTTTTGTGTCTCTTGTTTCGTGTTCTGTTTGGTATCCATGAATGTTCTTAGATTTCATACAGTTCATGTATCTAACTATATCTGTGTCCTTGTGTTCTGGAAACTTTCTACTTAGGCGACGGATGATTTTGGCTGATTGGAATGCTCTAAGGTTCTATTTGTGTCAATTTTTACGACTTTGAGGTTAGATAACTGTGATATATACATGGAAAAGTTAACGAATTTTGAGCTTGCTAGCTCTTTATATAGTTGGAGTGTTACTCAAAAGTTTGTCACCAATGAGGAACGATATTTATGATGTTCTAAGGCCCCATTTGAGTTTCTTTTTATGAACACCAAATCATTTTTCCTTCCACGTTTGAATCATGGCGAAAGCATACCAAGCTAAATTTACATAGCATTAATTGCTAACTATATGCATTGATGGCTGTTCATTCAATTCACCATTTTTGCTCATTGATACTTTTCATTTTTTCCATCTGACAGAATTTCTTCGGATATTAATACTGACACAGTTTTTAATTATTTTTCTTGATTGCTCGTGGCAGTGGTGGAAGAGATCTCAGTGGGAATAAACGGACGAACAAGAAACAGTCATTTGACCAGAAGTTTGATAAAAGCAACGAAGCGTTGCGAGTCAGTTGCAAAAATGGTTATCCTGTCCGAGTTGTAAGGTATTCTGATATTTCTATTTAAGCAACAGTTAAGAATATAAGCAAATGGATGCTATGTATTGCCACCTTATATTTTCATAACTTATCAAGGAAAACTACACTTTGATGGTTTGCTAGAATGTGTGGTTTTACCCTGTGTATGGTGTTTCTACATGATATCTTAGTCATGGGAGTAAACGAATGTTGTTGATATGACATTGACTATGTTCCATCTCATGTCCTCCGTCCATTCAAGTAAGAGGCTGTAGCTGTGTGTGCTTTGCCGTAAATGATGCTTATTTTCACAGGATTGCATTTATTGGCTTGGAAAATGCTAGATATTTAAAAGGGAAAGAGAATGTCAGAATATTCTTCTATTTTATTTTCCAGTGCAGCTTTTAATATTCACATGGATCTGATTGTAGAAAATTAAACTTATATTTCCTCTTCTGGAATTAGGTCTAGCATTATTTTGTTTGGTTGGGAATCACTCCCCTTTTGGTGATCTAAGGTTTTCGTTAAAACTTTTAAATGCTCCCGGTTATTTGCAGACAACCCAAGACTATGCCCTTGTTTGATCCTCATTATTTCCAAAATACATTTTTTTCTCTCTTCTTTTTAACCACGCATTCTTCAATAAAATAATATTACACTCAAACCCGAAACTTTTTCTTATTTTTTAACCACACATTCTTCATCAATCTACTATTCCAAAATGCATTATTTGTTAAAAATAGGGCTCAAACGGGTTCTATATATTCTGCAATGAAATACTCAATTTTTGCCTCCATTACTAGGTTAACGCAACTTCTATGGTTTTTCTGTTTAGCATTCTTTTGCAACAATGATATCAATTAGTGGTAGGAAAGATTAATATTTGCCTTTTTGGTTCCCTAATGCACTTCCTTATTCTTGTACTAACTCTTCTTTTGTCGGGCAGGTCTCACAAGGAGAAACGTTCTTCTTATGCGCCACAGGAAGGTGTACGTTATGATGGGGTTTACAGGATTGAGAAATGTTGGCGCAAGGCTGGAATTCAAGTATGGATTTGCTTCCATAAGGATTTTAGTCACCTTTGTGCTCAATATGTTCTCTTACGGCTTTCCTTCACTTGATATAGGGATTTAAGGTGTGTCGTTATCTATTCGTTCGTTGTGATAACGATCCTGCGCCATGGACAAGGTTTATTGTTTCTCTCATTACGCCATCATCCATCTCCTATATGCGCTTATGTTTGCATGCTTAGTTCTTAATTTATCATCATTTTCTATAGTGACAATCATGGTGATCGCCCAAGAGAGCTGCCCATTGTAGAGGAATTAAAGCATGCTACTGACATGACCGAAAGAAAAAATAGTCCTGCCTGGGATTTCGATGTCAGAAGCTATATTCTTAACTAATGGTTTATCTTCACCAATTTCATTTATATATCTGCATGAAACTGTAACACTGGCCGATCAGCTCCTTTTAATTCCTGTTTATATATTAATATGGTACTTCATGAGATATTAACTTTTCTAGTGACCTCAGCCGTTTAATTTTGCAATGCACAGGAGGGACAAGGTCGTTGGATTTGGAAAAAGCCTCCACCAGAAAGCCGAAGAGCACCTGATGCTTATGATGAGGAAGGTAAGAGCACTAAGAGAGCAAGACGCCAAAGCCGAAATGAGTCAATGAAAGAAAGGCTTTTAAAAGGTATTCTTCTTGTTACATGTGCATTTCTTTGGACTTACAGAAGCTGTTCCTTATAGAGGTTTCTGTATAGTACAATGTGTGAATGTGCGTGCATAATCTTTATGTATACGTACGAGGTCGCATGTTTCTCAAGTCTGCAACTCATTATACAGATTTTAGCTGCCTCATCTGCCGGAAAGTAATGGTGCTTCCACTTACAACTCCCTGTGCTCATAACTTTTGCAAGGCGTGCTTAGAGAATTCCTTTGCTGGCCAGTCTTTCATAAAGCAGAGGACATGTGGAGGTACAAGGACACTCCGAGCACAAAAAAATGTCATGAAATGCCCGTCGTGCACAAATGACGTGTCTGATTTCCTCAAGAATCCCCAGGTACAAATAGCAGAATTTTTTTCTCATGTAAATTTTGAAGTTGTCCCCAGTTTTTCTAAAGTGATGCATACTAGCACAATTACAGTGACTGTCAATGGAATTGGGGTCGTATATGCATTTTAAGTCATTTGTGCAAGGAAGATTTATTTCAAGATGTATGAATCAGAAATGTGCACTCATCCAAAATATGATCCTGCAACAGGTTAACAGGGAGTTGATGAATTTGATTGAATCGCTACAGAGCCAGATGAAGGAGGAAAACATGGAATCTGAAGAAATTGATGGTGCTAATGACGAAGATGCTGAGTTATGTGATGAAACTGATGATGCGTGTATAGAAGTGGACATGGGGGAAGAAATTGTTGGCACAAATGGAAAATCCAACGTTGGTGCTGAAAATGAGAACTGTGATGCAAGTGCTGAAATTCTAAAGGAAGAGAAGGATGAGAAAGAAGGCAGTAAACCTTTGACCAACACTGACCCCCAGCCACATATTGGAAAGGAAGCCCTAGGAAAGTGTGATGCTGTGAGCGATCACCAGGAAGCTGGTGTTGCCAGAGGTGAAATGCCCAAAAGAAGAAACAAGCGACGGGGTGCTGGTGAAGAGACGTGCTCATTGGCTCCCAACAGGGGCAAGAAGAGAAGAGGCAACAAGGCTTGACATAAGTTGCTCACTTGTTCTGCTATCTTGTTCTCTCCCGTCTTTTTCTTTATGACAACCTCTTGCTTTGATGACTTGTCCCGGAGCCAAGTTCTATTGGGCGTGAGAGGAGGATTTGGGGTATACACATTCTTTTTGGCAGGATTAAGGTTTAATCTGACATTTTCGAACTATAGTTGTGTATCATGGGGATGTACTGCCCATCTTTCGTTCCCTATGAGTTATGATGTTAGTAGGATTTTAAGAATGCAGTAAACAAATGCCATTTTCTTTTGAATTGCCAGTTTATGTGCAAGTCTTGTTTAGCAAATAGCACCAGTTGGAAGCATGTTTCTTAAGACCCATCAGGCTGTTGTGACAATTCTTTGAAATCATTCTAGCACACCCGATACATCTTACGCGGCTGCTTGCCTTTTTGGTCCTGTTTTATTTACTTCTCAGGTGTACAACCTGTTAATGTTATTTAGCTTCATTGGAATTACAACTCCAGTCTAGGTGATGTGAAATTAAATGATAAATGGAATTAAATGACTTATTTAATTTTACATTTCATTTAGCCTATCATCTAGTGTCATCTAAACTAATGTTGCTACTCCAGTGGGGTTACATAGCATTATTCAACCTGTTATGGATTATGTGCCTTGTTTCTTCTATTGAGTTTAACATGCTAGACATGATGCATTTGTGCATTTCTCCAAGATTTACCATGTTTGGTCCTGTGTTGTAGTTGAGCAATCTATATAGCGTCAAGAAGCTTTTTTTACTATTGTACACCATAAATCTATAAGCAAAAGCAGCAGTACTGTGTTAAAAATATTAAAGGAGTTCGATCTTTAGTTTACAGAAAATAGCTGCTGATAAAAAGATATTGCTTCTTTACACACCATTCTGCTTGTCCACATGAATAACAAATTCAAAGCAACAAGGGACTATCAGAACTTTTAACTCGAGTGGTGCCCAAACACAACGCAGTTTCTGCCTTTGACCAGAAATTTGTATACATCTCGTTTAGTTTTGGCGTTCTAGTTTCTCAATCAGTGTCCTCTTCTCCTCTTCAGGCAAAGCGTTAAAAATGAAGACTGATTTATCTCCTATATCATCCTGTAGAACAACAAAATTATATCATACTCGTGTTTTCTGAATATATCAACTAGACTGTTGATGGATAAAGCTATTTCATTTCAAGCAAAGGAAGGCTGTGTACCTTAATTGGCTGAGTGAATTTTCTTCCCGCAAACACTAGAAAGAGTGCCATCCACACTCCCAACAAAGCCACTTTTGCTCCATCATCCATCAAACCAGTCTACATCCACAGATGTACATTATATTCCGGAAAAATAAAAATCCAAGTCTCACATGAAAAGACGACACGAAGCTCATTTCTTTGAACGGTTTTCACGCAGGCTAATTGACATTAAAAGTTGGAAAATTTCAAGTTGCAGTTGCAGTTGCTGTTACAACTTCACAGAAACCAAAACCTTTGGATAGTCATCTTTGTTCAATAATTCAAATGTTCACAAAGGAAACAGAAGCTCGCTATGTATTGCCACTGGGAATTCTCAAGTCAGTCAAGTTCCAAGTATCAATGCCGAAATAATGCCAGCTTCTAAAATGAATATACCAGGCTTCAAATTGTGCACTAATGGCCTGAGATTCAATCTCGACCATTGAGAGATATAGGCAGTAGCCAGTTCTTACCAGATGACCAAGCAGAATTGATGGAATTATGAATGTCAGGATGCCCGCTTCCAATTTGCCATAGCAAAGGCCTGTTTCAAAGAGAGAAATGCTATTTGAATCGGCATGAGTTAAGCATTTTTTGAATTCCCTTTTTCTGTATTAGTCGAAGCTTTTATCATTGCAGGTTTGGGGATAAAGGTAGTCGGTGACGGTAGTAGTCATCCTATGTCACAACTCGTTATTTGAGTATTTAGCTTGTTATTTGAGACAACGGAATTACAGAAAATTAATGTCTCAAATAAAAAGCTGTCACATGGGATCACTACATTAGTCGCTCACTATAAATAGCATTATTCTTTCAAAGATGACCATGATCTCAAGCAAGTTGTAATTCGTTTGTCGCTATTAAAAATAGAGTAATGCTATTCATCCCCACTGGGGATGAAAACACAATCTAGGTGGAGCTAACGTGGCATTAAATGATAGGTGAAAATAAATAAGTCATTTAATTTCACCTTTCATTTCTCCTATCATTTACAGCCACCTAGACTGTGTTTTCATCCCCATTGGGAATGAATAACATTACTCTTAAAAATATGCATTCATGATTTAGGATAAATTGTATTTGTAAAGGAAAAGTAAAGCATACCTTCCTTGAATACGAGTCCAGTCAATGCAGCAAAGAGTGGACCTACAAACCAGACAGCCATTGGATTCTCAACAACATACTGTACTAAACTCTGCCCCAGTGGTTGAGCAAGAGTTACATATGTTGCCAAAGATCCAACCAAACCTAAAACCCATAGAGCTTGAAGCGCCCGCTTAATTTCAGTTACATATATGTGAATTAAGTACAAAGATAAGCCTAGCCCACAAGCCCCAACGCCATAAAACAAATCAAGATTTCTTTGAATAAATTCTTCATTGGGAAAGAAAACAGTAGAAGATGCAACAACAAAAGAAGCAGCAGAAATCACCAATCCTGATCTGTATAAAATAACCTCTTGAATATCTGAGGATTCTACAGTCCAGGGACCATAGACTCCTTGATATACAATTGGTTTCTGACTTGCAGTTTGACATTTTATAGTTTTCTTGGCAAGCCGAGAAGAAAAGGAAGAAGAAAACCCACGATTTATTAAAACTCTACTGGGATTTTGGAATAGAATATGGGGTTTTGGAAGATGAATTATCGCTGCAGAAGCTAAATGAGCCATTAATCACCACTTCCCCCAGTTTTAGATTTTTTTTTTCTCTATGTTTATGAGAAACTCAAACTCGTGGTGGGCAATCAACAAAATGATAATCATAATTATAAAGGGATAATTGCAGCTGAGGCCCCAAACCTTTCAACAGTGGCATACTTTCCCCTAATCTTTTAATCATTGCCGCCATACCCCAAACCTTTCAAATCATTACAACTGAGGCCCCAATGGACGGTTTACATCCAATCTGTCGTTAGTTGACCCAAAAAATTAATTTTAATCAATTTTAAAATGGTAAAACAATAATTTAATATTTTTTCCATAAAATAATTCAAAACCTGGGTGTGTTTGATGGATATTGTCGAGAAAAGAATATAATTTAAATAGTGATTGGATGAGAAATACGTAGTTAAAAAGTAAGAAAAAGTTATTGATATGATGGAAAATATTATTTTATTAAAGAATGTGTGATTAAAAATGAGTTTTGAAAGAATGTGTACCAAACAGTGGCATAAATCAAAAATAATAAAAGGAAAAACGAAAATCTATCTTCTTCATCAACTCCCACCCGAACCCGAACCAGAACCACAACCCCCTCAACCCAAAACAAAAAAAATTATCCCTGAAATTAACTCCACAATTGAGGTGTCTCTTGAGTAGAGAAAAAAACTCACCAACCGAACTATGAGTTTGTTTTGGTTGGTCGTCGGTATCTCTACAAGCAGAGTTCTTGGTAAATACAAGTAAAATTGACAACCAAAGAAGATGTCAAATTCGGAAATCAAAGAAAAGTGAAAAGAAAAAAGTGGGTAGATTTGGTGGTGAGGCGACAGTACATCAAAATACAAGTCTCCACCATTGAAGTGGAAGTTACCGTCGAAGTAACAACTTGTGAACAGTAAAACAAATACTGCCTAGAAAGAAAAACAAATCTAGATAGAAAGACGGTAACAGCTAATTCTCCAATTGTGCAACAAATTATCTCATAAACAATTTTTCAACATTTCTTAGAAAGAAAAGCAGATGTAAAAAAAACAGAAGGGATGATTTCTAATTTTGGGTTGATTGGGTGGGTGGGTTGATGAAGAAGATAGATTTTCCTTTTTTATTTTATTTTATTGTTTTTTATTTAAGTTTTTAATTATTTTATGGTAAAAATATTAAATTAATGTTTCACCATTTTAAAATTGATTAAAATGTGGTCCAAATTAATTTTTTGGGTCAACTAATGACAGATTGGATGGAAACCATCCATTGGGGCCTCAACTGTTACGATTTGAAATGTTTGGAGTGACGAATGCAACAATTGAAAGATTATGAGATATTCTGCCACTGTTTGAAATGTTTTGGGCCCCATATGCAATTATCCCTAATTATAATGATAATAAAATTATAAAAATGATATAGAAGCTTCTTGCAGCCAAGGCCCAAGAATATTATGTTCCATAAAAGTGAAATAAATGGATCTACTTTACATTCTAAATTGGGCTCAACTACATAACATAATCCAACCCAACAAATTCAATTAGTGATAATTACCAAAATCCAGCTGTTTAGTTTTGAGTTTATGAAAATCAGGATTTAGCTTTATTTAATCAAAAATCAGCTTTTATCATTTTTAATTAATAATAATATTATAACATTAATTAAGTTTATGAAAATCAGGTTTTAACTTGATGTAATCAAAAAACAGATTGTATCATTTTTAATTAATAATAATATTATAACATTAAAATAATCTATATACCCACCCTACCCCCACCACCACCACCACCACCACCAAATTTATTTTAAATATTTTAATTATAAATCTATCCAAACCCAAACCCATCGAACTCATTTGTCTCCTCTCACCTCTCTCCTCCCTCCTCCACCGTGGCCACCTCTCTCCACCGCCGCGGGTAGCCTCTTCCTCCCCCTCCTTTTGCTGCGAATCGCAGCAAAAGTGTCACAGCGACGCTGCTGCCGTTCAGAAGCGTCGCTGTGACGCTGTTGCTGCAGCAGCGTCCCCTCCCCCCTCCTTTCCCCCTCTCTCGAAGGAAATGTAAGGCGGGAGAATGAACTGAGCCAAAACTAATGTTCTACTTGATTTTTTTTTATCACCTTAATTTTTCGTATTCTTCTGTATCTTACCAATCTGCAAATCTGAGGTAGATCAATTATTTTGACTAAAAATCTAGTTTGGGTTACTGTTTTAGATTATTAGATTTTATGATCAAGTGTTAGTGGTGGTTGTGACCAAGTGTTGATGGGGTCTAGTTTCGGAAAATGTTGCAGATCTGGGGATGTGTGGTTGTCGAGGTGGTGGATCTGTGGTGGTATGTTTCGTGTGGTGGTGGTCGTTTTCTGTTATTGTTGTGGCGGGGTCAACGACGGTGGTGGTTCTTTGGATGTCTATGACCTAGCTATTGATCAGTGACTTTAAAATTGATAATTTGTTGGTGTCTGTGACCAACAAATTTGAAAATACGTGACATGTGGCATATAATTTTTTTGATCTGTGACCAATAAAATAATATGTGACCTATAAAATTTTAGATTTGTGATCTCGAAATAATCCGTGACCTAAAATTTTTTTAATCTGTGAACAATAAAAAAACTGTGACCTATAAAATTTTAGATCTATAACTTCGAAAAAATCTGTGACCTACAAAATTTTTGATTTGTGACCTATGACAGGAGAACAGTCGACGGAGTGGTCACCGGTCACATGAGTAGTTGCCGGAGCAGAGATGGGATGAGATGGGATGGGATGGGATGGGGTGGAGGTGGGGTAATTATATTATATTACAGTTAAATATTTAATTTAATATAATAATAAAATATAATTAATTAATTCATGAAAAACCTGATTTTTGCAATTCTAAACTTTGAGGCCTGATTTTTTATTTTGGGATAGATAAAGACTAAGTTGTGAATTTTTCCCATTCAATTATATCCCTGTTTGGTGAAATTAAATAAAAATTTTAATGAATTTTGATAAAAAGTTGATAAAATATGTCATTAAAAAGTTATGATTTATGATTAAAATTAATTATTGACTTTGACTTGTATTAAAATTTTGATTTAAACTACACCAAACATGGACATAGTTTGGACTCCATTTTAATGAGTTTTTTTTTTTTTGTGAAAAGTGTTTTTTGAAATAGTGATTTTTTTTTTGGAAAATGTGTCGTTAAAAAAGAAAGATTTTTTTTGATTTACGTATAATCTTATTTTATTGAACAATATGTGTTTGAAAAGGTGAAAGAGAAAAATAAATTAAAATGAGTGATGCTACATGTATAGGGGAAGTTTGACGAAATTTTTACATATTGGACACTTTTCAATTTTTTATTGATTTTCTTCAAAACAGACAAAAATATACTATACATGGTGCTGCCTACACAACACCTATATAATGCCTGTGAATAATTCCATGTACGATTAAAATTATAATGAAGGCCAAACATGGGGTATATTTGTTTTGTAAATTATATGGGAAACTTGAATAAATGGCACTTAAAAGAGGAAATCTAGTGCATTGTAACACTTCTGTTAGCAGACTTTCGATTGTAGCACTACCTTGTGTAGGTATCCTACCCTTCTCTAAAGGAAATGTAGAAGACTGTAAACGCTTCAACTTGTTAATCATTTATTTCATTCAAATTATTCTTTCTAATCTTTATGCTAATTTTATTTTTCTCAATTTACTTCCAAGACTCTAATATTGAGCAAATACACTAACTCATTTAGGGCATATTTGATGTATAGTTCGTGAAAAATGATTCTTTGACAAATATTTATAATATATTAAATATTGCGTCAAGCGAGAATCATTTTTTGAACGATTTTAACCATACTACAATTTAATTATTTCAATAGTGCCTCACTTTTCGTTTTTCAATATGTAATAAATACTACAAAATCCTTGTTATGTATGAATTTCATATTATTAATTTTCAATTAATTAACATTTATATTAATGTAGATTCAATAAATTTTGACTTGATGAATTTTAATTTACATAAATTAGAGTTATTATAGATGAATTGATTTTTGTTCATATATCTAGAAATTTTAATGGGTATTTAAATTTATGTATTTGCAATTAATTCTTATATAGCAAATGTAGTATAAAAATGTTGCTCATTAGTAGCATTTCATCGTCACAAAAAAATTGAACCATAGAAGTAGAGTTTTGATAGTAGAATTTTCTTATCTTAAATTTCTATTCTAAAATTTATTTTCTTTAGTCCATTTAAAACTCATCAAATTATCACAACAAATTGATATCAAATATTATTTTGATAGTATTTATAAAGTATTTCAAAATAGCATACAATGCATATTCAACCCTGATTAGTATGATAAAAACTAAAAAGTATGAAAGATTATTGGTTTACGTGCAACATTTTTTAATTGAGAGAATGTGGTTGAAAATGAGTTTGGAAAAAAATGAAGTTTAAAGAATCTAAAGCTTAATCTTTTAGATTAAAATTCATAATCTAGGTTGAGATATACTGTTGCAAATCAAGGCTCAAGATTGTTGATCTAACTAAGATTTGGATTTATTAAATTTTTATTTTTTAAAATTTTTGTGTGCTAGTTTCTGCATAATTTGACTAATCTCTTTCGTTTGGTTAAATATGTT